AAGGGATCCGCCACCCTGCGTCATCCTGTCCGGCTAACTGAGTGCACGTCCTGGGCGAGGAGCGTCACCCTGTGTCACCCGGCAATCCCGATGAAAAATACCCCGATAGCACCTCTCAACGGACCCTCCGTACGAGGTCGACACGTCGACGACGCCGGTCGCGGCCAGCGTGCCACGACGTCCACCTAGCCATCGGCGCGGACTGCGGCGTGAGGCCCACCGCGATTTCTGGCCGACCACTGTGCTGGCGCGCAGAGCCACACGTCGCCCATCCGAAACACAACATTCCACGCGGCAAACATCGATCGGCAAACGTCTGTCCACGCGGCGATCAAGCCTTCGCCGGCCTGCTGGCGGGAACGTCCCCGCGGGATACCATCGTCGGGCGACGCGATGAGCACTGCTGCGTCACGCCGACGTGTAAGCACGGTTCACCGTGACGGGAACACCGGACAGTCGGCTGCGAAAAAGACATGAGTGCCCCATGCCACGTCGACCATTGCGCCGCCGTGCCGTTCTGCCTTGCATGCAGAGTTGGAGACCTGCCCACGGATCGCCCGCCAACACCTGTCCGCCCGAACCGCGACTGTGCCTCTCTATGCTATGACCCCCTGACGGCCAAGTGTCCATGGCATTTCGACACTTGTTTGTTGCGTTGCATTCATTTCCATTCTGGTGAGCCACATTTCCCTTACTCATTTTCACGCTTCTCAGAGACCGACCGACCACGCGTGGTGCAGGGTCGACGACGAGCCACGCCGGTGTAGAGTGCGTTTAGGTCGGCAAACTTTACGGGCTTCCGACTTAGGATCATTCCGACTAGGACGACTAACTAGGTCGACAACAACCGAAAGTCGCCGACCTCTTTCTTCAAACCCACAACCAGTATTGTCATCGCCGGTGATCCCCCGTGCGGCCTCGAATGGTTAGGGACCAGTCTAACAACATCCCGCCGGACAACACCCCGCCGAACGATACATTGCCACTTCACACCCCGCCGACCATTGTGCCGCCGACCACGGCCACTCCGAACATCACCCAGCAGAACACCAATCCGCCGCCCTTACTTCCCGAAATTCCCGAATTGACCGACATTGCCGCGGAGTTGACGATCGCCGAGAACGTTGAGAGGGCCGAAAGACGGGCGGCCTTTAGGGCCACGGTGCGAAGGCAATACACGGCAGCGATTGTGCAGTATCGACTTTGGTGGGCTGAGCACGTACCGCCGCGAGATCGCGGCGACAACTAGAGGCCGACGAGAACAACTCTACCCGCCGAGATGGCTGGCGTCGCGCCGCCGGCGGGGAGCAGCGCGATTCCCGACCTGAACGAGCCTTTCATGGAGGAAGATGTACACACCGCTAGGGCAAATATTCCCGCCGACATGGTGGTCGACGTAGATGCCGCTAGGGCGAAAATTCCCGCCGACCTGACCATCCCCCTACCGCCAGGGACGAAAGGGGCTCCCGAACCCGAGCCGGACCGGTACTCGCCGCGTTCGGACGCGGAGCAGCCGCCGCCAATTGGACCATTTCCAGAAAACGACTACATGTATCTGACCGTAGAGGACTTGTTGGCAGCCGACGAGAAAGATGACGCCTTCCTGCAAAACATTCCGCGCGACGATTTTGCGGAAGCCGCCTTCGACATCAACAAAGAGCTCGCCAAGAAGAACAGATTGCTGAGGATGATGTGGGGTTTCCGGCATCTGGACACACTGGAGGCGAGAACGACCCGGATTCAGTACCTGCGGGCGCTGCTCGACTTCAGGAGATGGTGCTGCGCGAACCTTCCAAGACAGCAAACCGCCAGAGTCAAGGGGGACGGCGTGCTGGAACACGAGGACGAGATAGGGAGGTACATCGACGAAGACATGGGTGATCAGTGGCACACCGCCAAGGGCGACCTACAATGGATGCACGGTCCCCGCGTCAACGCCACGCGGATCAGGGCGTACATTCTGTCAATCGCGAGGCAGGAAGGTATTGCAAAGGCCGAGGAGCTCGAGGAGCTGAATCCCGACGTCCGTGTCCAGCCCCTGAAGCCGACAACCATTTCGATGCTGCTCATCCGCATCAAAGCGCTCCAGACAGCCTGCAAGGTCGAGGGGACGCTCTTCGGGGTGAAGGAGCTCCACATCATGTACGACATCTCCGAGGTCCGCTCGGAGGTGCGCGCGATGGTCAGAGAGAAGTGGCACAGGGACGACAGGTAAGTCGGCAAGTCGTCCCGCGCGGTTCACGCCTGTTTCCCGGTTCGCCCAGCTAACCCAGTCCTCGTGGAAACTGATGTGCAGGGATTGCGTCGACCGGCACTGCGGAACGCTCGGCGACACGTACACCACCGACCAGATCCGCCACCTCATGTTCAAGGTCTTGCCGACCTGGGCAGCTCGGGCGTACGAACCCAAGGCGGCCACCCCCTCCCAGACACTGTGGAAGTTTCTGCTGATGAAGACGATGACCCTCTTGGGTCACCACACCCTTCTCCGCGGAGGCAGTCTCCGAGCGATCGAGCTCCCCGACCTGTTTTTGTACAGAATGGGGAACGCGTCGCCCGAGCACTCCACGCGACGGCCGGTTGTCATGGTCGTCGCGTCACGAAACTCCAAGACGAACAAGGATGCTCGTCTGCATCACAGCTACGCGGCGAGACACCTGGAGCAAGAGATGTGCGCCGTCGGTCACACACTGTTGTGGCTGCACTTCGTGTACGACCAGCTGAGCCGCTCGCCCACCTCTCGATGTGTGCCGCCCCTCGACTTCACAACTCCGTACAGCTGGTATCACAAGCACCTCTTTCATGCTCGGAACGACAAGGCACAAAAAGAGCTGCCGGCTTCATCTCATTCTCGGATCACGAAAGAGATGTGGCGGACGAACAAGATCTTCATCACGCGCAACACCCACGCCGCCCGGGCGGGTGGGGCACAGGAGCTGGCCGACGACGGCGTTCCGCGATCTGACATCGCCGACTTGGGCCACTGGGCGCTCGACAAGCTCGCGAAGAGCTACATCACGACCATCCCGAAGGCGGCGGTGTTGAGAAAGGCCGGCTACACGGGCAAGCGCGGCGACTACCACCTCGGCCGGAGCATGGTGAAGCCCGACGACAAGGTGGTGGCCCTCATCGCCCAGCACATCTTTCCGTGGGCGGAAGCGGAACTGGCCAAGGTGAGCATTTCGGACGGCAAAAACGCCGACAACCCGCCGACCATTTCCACGATGACATTCTACCGACGGCTGATTGTGTTTGTGTTTGTGTTCGACTTGCAGGCGGTAAGGTGCGCATCCGCGAGAGAGCCCAACACGGCCGGGGTGCACTTCCTGCAATCGCTCATCGAGTTCGGCCGCCGAATCGTTGCCGAGGATCTTGCGTGCATGCTGATGCGCGAACCGTGGCACCCGTACGTCCAGAGTTCCAAGCTCTGCCGCGACCCCGACTTCCAGAAATGGGCCAAGGACGTCAACCGGGTGGACCTCGAAACCATCGCGACGCGCAGTACTCCGAGCGAGAACCCCCAAGAGGTACGGCGTGCGCGTTCCGGCGACCTGTAAAACAAGTCGTCCTGCCACATTGCCTCACCTTTTGCCGACCATCCCCCTTGGATCGCAGGAATTCAGCGCGCGAGTTGACGCCGAATATCAGGTCGACCAGCTCACCATGATGCTGCACCGCCAGAGGGAGGATGCCGCGATCGAGAAGCTTGAAATGCAGAAGAAGTTGGAGGAGAAGGACGCGGAGATCGTGAAGTTGATGCAGGCTCTCAAGCTGGCCGAGGCATGGCCGACGCCGACTGCGCCGGCACCGTCAAGGCCGATGACCGCCGCCGAGAAGGCAGCGTCCGTCAAGATCGAGAAGGAACAGAACGATAACCTGACGTACGAGGTCAACGTCGTGCATCCCTGGCGCACATCCAAGACGGTCGAGGCTGCATGGCGCTGGTGGAACAACCCGTCCAACTTCGACTCGCGTCCGTTGCGCGAACGTTACGACGAGCACAGATTCCTCGTCAGACACACGCGCATGATCTGCAAGGTCGAAAAGGGCGACAAACCCGCCGCGTCGGCGAAGTCGGCGAAGAGCTCTCGTCCCACGACCGAGGTGGGTGAGACGGGGAAAAACGATGCGCTGCAGCACTGCGCTCGCCGGATGAGGCGGATCATGGAAGCAGTGCACGACTTGCGGCGGAGCGACGACGCCGCTGACACCGCCGCCGTCATCAAGCTACTCGACCACCTGGGGCGAACGGGGCTTTCCACTTTCAGCGACGCGCTCTTGGTCCTCCGTGCAACCCCGCTCATCAAGGTCCCCACCACAGCCGACGGAAAGTCGGTCGGCATCAAGGGTCTGGCCAAGCCGCTGGCGAGGAAGCTCGCCGTTGCGTGGGGCGTGGTCACGGCGGGCTACATGGACGCTGACTGGGGAAAGAGGCTCTTCGGCGACTTGTGGGATGAGCAGGCCAATAAGGCCGGCTTGGAGACCGAGGCGACGGCGGGAGCCATCGGCGCAGGGAAGCGCAAGAGGGCGGGCTGAGGGTACTGCGTTTGGGTCCGACTTGTGCTGCTGGCTGGGCGTGGTGTGACTGAGGGTGGGTTGAGGGCGGGCCGAGGGCGGGCTGAGGGCAGGCTGAGAGTGGGCTGGGGGTGTGCTGAGCATGTCCGACCTGTTCTAGTGATCCTATATGGTTTTCCTTTACTGCCAACGTTGTTTCGACTTGTAAATTTGTAAATTAGTAGAAGTTTGTCTCTTGTTCATGCATCAAACCGACTCCACACCACAAAACCTACTTCACAACGTTTCTGAAAAACTACCGACGAACAAGTTCAGCATCCCTAAGCCGGAGAGGCACAACAAAACAACAAAATAGCACCCGAAACCGGACACGTCGACCATGTCACGAGCGGTCGGGCCAGCGTTTGTAGGTCTTCGTCAGAAAGCCTGCAGTGTTTGCACCCACGCCGACCATGCTACGAGCAGGCGGGCCAGCCTTCGTCGACCTAGGTGTCGGCGACCTGCTTCCCTTTGTGCTGCTGCCCCCTCGTCCCCCTGTCCCGAATGATAATCTTCATCTGGGGGCCGATAGGCAAATCGACGCCGCGAGCCTTGAGCTTCGGGCCTCCGACATTGCAGTCCCCCCAGAAGGCGAGGTTCTCTATCATGACACGGGCGATCAGCTCGTCGTGCTCGCGCTCCTCTCCGACCTCAGGCAGCGACCTCACCACAGCCGCCTGCAGGTCCTTCGTCACCGTTTCGGCGACCTCCCCTACGACGACCACCCGGGAGGCCGCCCGCTGAAGCACCGCCTCGATGACGGTCCGACACCGACTCGCGAACTCGTTGGACGCTCCGCGCATGGTCGCTGCCGCCCCCCCTTCGCCGGCCGCTACTTCCGCCGTGGCATTGGTCTCCGAAAAACACCACACCGCGGCCGCAGTACCGGCGAGGATCTCGGACAACCGCTCCGACCCGACGCCCGGAATGGGCGTCACTTTTGCGGCCACCGGTGCGAAGGCGGCACACATCGAAACGCGTGCGATCATGTCGCTCGCCACCTTCTTCTTCGCGGCCTTCTCGGGCTCGTTCGACTCCGGAAGGTCGCCGAACCACACCGCCGGGCGAAGAGCCAACATGAGAGCTGCGCGGTCGGCTCCGGTTATCCTGTTGTATTCCGCGACCACCTGTTGGAACCTGCGAAACACAGCAGGAATACCCACCGTCACCGACCGCCCCACGCGAACCGACCGAAACGAGCACCAAATTGAGCATTCGCCAAGCTTACCTGTCGCGGAAGACGTTCGCCCCTCGGCTCCACATGACCATCCACATGCCCCCCGGAATCAATCGCGCCACATTCCAGTCCGCCTTATACTGCGCCATCACTTCCTCCTTGACCCCACCGAACTCCTCGAGAACCACGTCGCTGACGAAGCCGTCGAACGACGAAACGGCGACAGCGATGCAGTAGGCGGCCTCGGACTTGTCCATCGACCGGCAGATGTAACGGCTCTTCTTCCCAAACTTCATCTCCGAGACGGCCAGCCCATTTGAAGGGTCAACGCGGACGCCTGAACCCTTCCGACCCTGCGCGGCCGCTTTGGACGTCCCCTTGGAAGAGCCGACCTTCGCCGGGCCGCCCTTCGCCTTGTCCTTGCCCTTGCGCTTCTGCTTCCCATCGCCGACCTCACCGGTTGTGGCCGGGGGGGATTTGGCGCCAGCCGCGCTATGGTCCTCCGCAGGAGCAGTCGAGGCGGCTGGTGCACCCTGTTGCGCTCCCACGGTGGGAGCTGCTGCTTGTAGTTTTTCCCGCATGACCTCAATTTCCGGGTCCGGCATCACGATGCTGGCGAGGATCTCTTCGTCCACCCCGCCGGCCTCTTCCGCCGCTCTCCACACAGCCGCCTCCACCGTTGAGCCACTCGGACCTGCAGTCGCCGCCGCGACGTTCGCTGCCTCTGCTCCTTGGTCGACCGCCTGGTTGCTGTGAGTCGGAGGAATTACCGGGGTTTTCTGACCCTGATCCTCGAGCCATTTTAGATACTCGTCGAACGATGGCTTTTGAGTGACTAGAGCCTCGACCGCCCGAGACTCAACAGCCGTTGGGATCGGGATCGGTTCCGCGGCGACCATGGCCCCATGAACGGGTAAGCTGGCCGCACCGGCAGCCTGCTGGACATGCTGTCCGACCACCGCTGCTGGGCGCAAGAGCTCGTCGACCAGCGCCGTGACACCACCCGGTCGCGCGTCACGTGCAGTGGCAGGACTCGTCGCGGTGTGGGGATGGTGGCCCGCCGCGGCCTGCTGGACATGCTGTCCGACCACGGATGCTGGGCGCAAGAGCTCGTCGACCAGCGCCGTGGCGCCAGCCGGACGCGCGTCCTGTGCAGTCGCCGGACTCGTCGCGGTGGGGGGATGCTGGCCCGTACCTGGCGGCCCGCCCTGCTGTCCGACCACCACTGCTGGGCGCAAGAGCTCGTCTACCAGCGTCGTGACGCCAGCTAGACGCGCGTCTTGTGCGGTCGGCGTGCTCGTCGACGGGTGAAGATGCTGGCCCGCACCGGGCGGCCCGCCCTGCTGTCCGACAACCGCTGCGGGGCGCAGGAGGTCGTCGGGCAGCTGCGCTGTGACGCCGGTCGGTCGCGCAGTCGGCGTACTCGTCGAGGGTTGAACATGCTGAACCGCAACGGGCTCCCCGCGCGCCTGGCCGACCACCGCTGCGACGTGCATGTCGTCTGCCATCTGGGCCGTGCCGCCGCTCGGTCGAGCGCCTTGTGCAGTCGCCGGACTGGCCTCGGGGTGTGGATGCTGGTCCGCCGTTGGCTGCCAGTCTGCTTCGCGACCACGGATGCCTCTCCCATGAGCTCGTCGGCCAGACCCACCTGGTCGCAGCTCGGTGGCGCGTTGTGTGCGCTCGGCGGATCGGTCGGGGCCTGTGGCTGCTTGTCCCCCACGGGCTGCCCACCGGTCTTCCCGACCACAGACTGAGGATCCTGGAGCGCGACGTCGACCTGTCGAAAATCTACGCTCGGTCGCGCGCCAAGTCCATCTTTCAGCAAGTCGTGGACGCCGGGGATACGAACATACAGAGGGGCAGGAGGATCCACGCCCACACCGCGTTTCACCGCAGGTCCTCTGCTTCGCTTAGAGCCGCTGGTCTGGTCGCCGGTCAGGGATTTTTCGTCGGCGACCCTTTTCCCCGACTGCCTTGGGGCCGGCCCACTCTCCTCGGCGGTTGCGCGACCGCCGTGCATCACCGACGCGAGAGCAGTTGGGAGGAGGCTAAACCCGGCGGTGCCAATGCCCCGTTGGGTCACGGAGGTGACCACCTTCACCAGGTCGTCCCTAAGCTCTTGGACGACCTTCGCAGTCACGGCAGCGGCGATCCGCTGCGCCTCGCCCTCCATGGCGGCCTTCACCTCGGCAGACACGACTGTTTTGATCTTCTGGCCAAGAGCATCTGCCACACCTCGAAGCAGCAGGAGGTCGTCCTCCCGTCGCCTACCCTGTGCAGCAGTAGCCGTCAAGTGCAGGGCCTGCACGGTGGGCAGCCATTGTGTGTTCATGAATTCTAGGGTGGAGCCGCGATAGCTCACCGCCTCCTGCACGACCGCCCTCATAGCGTCCACCGCCGTTTGGATGCTCCTCCCCGACGTCTGCTCGAGATGGGTCACGCCCTCGGCGACTGTAGTGAGCTTGTTCACGGCCGAGGTGACCACGCCGTACATCGTGTCGTTCCGGGCCGTCTGGAACTCCAACCTCTTTTCCGCCACCAGCTTCTCCTCCCTCAGCTTCTTGATCTCCCTCTCCGCCGCCTTCAGACGCTCGATAGCCGCCTTTGACGCCATCCTAGTCGGGGTCGAGCCACTGCTGCCCCGGGCCTTCTTGCCCAACTTGGGTCCGCTGCCGCCGCTCTTATCCGCAACCTTCTCACCGGCGAACTGTACTGCCTCCTTTTCGCCGGTGACAGCCACGTCGTCCTCCTCACGCTCCACGTCCTCCTCTTCTTCCGAGCCACCGTCGTGCTCCCCGCCCCCCTCGACGTCCTCCCTCTCGTGCTCCTCCTCCCCACCCAGAGCGATGCCGGTTCCGACGCCACGGCCCACGGTCGACGCCGCCTCCACTTTGTTCGACGCGGCCTTCTCCGCGTGGTGCAGCAGCTCCAGTCGGAGCGCCTTCAAGCCGACCATCTTCGGGTTCTCGACGATGAGCGGATCGTAGCTGCGATGCGCGTCGTCCAGATGCTCCAACGACCACGCGAACGCGTTGACCGCCAACAGCCCCGTGCCGGCGACCTCCTCCTTGAGGATGTCGGGCAATTTCTGCATCAACATCCGAATCACATGGCGCCGACGAAAAGGGTGAGTCGACGCCTGGACGACGATAGCCCAGGCGACAAGGCAACATGGACGTTGGAAACTCACATCACGGATGGGGGCGGCAAGACTCTCCAGACGTTCGGAGAGGACTTTGGCAGAAGGAGGCGCAGCCGTCCACTGCCTTCCCCCACGGTTCAACTCCGCCTTCACGCATTCGCCGAAAAACCTGCGCTACGAGACGGAAAAGAGCCATCAGACAAGGCGGCATCAACGCCGTTAAGGAGCGGCGCGACTAGCCGTCGACGTTGTCCCACCTCAAAACGTTGGCTGCCTCCTCCTCGTGCCGCTTGGAGGAGGTTTTGGGGTCGAGGTGGCGGTAGAGCGTCCCGATCTCCTCCTCGTCGGGCAAAAGCAGGTCGCCAGGGCGCACAACAAGCAGGACGCTGCAGTGCCTGCCGGGAAGAGGTCCGCCACTGCCCACACAAGCACGACGGAGACATTCAGGGTTCTGTCCGGGAACAACAAGCAACGCGGTCGGCGTGGATCAAACCTCACGGGCGCGGAACACTCACCCGGTGCACAGGGGGATGGCGAGGGCTTCGAAGCCGAAGGCCGACCCGAAAATCAGATAGTCCGCCTTCGACGCCGTCCTGGCAGCGCGAAGACTCGCCCCGCGGATCAGGATCATCCTGTCGCCTTTTCCCAGACGATCGAGCTCGTACCTGGGACAACCGGGGGTGAAAAGGCGGGAGCGAAACACTTGCGCGGTGAGCTACAATCCATGCCGGGCGCCGGGGTAAAGCGCGGACAACAAGACAAGCGGACTCGGACCAAGGTTTCGCACGACGGCGATGTCGCCGGCAGCATGACGGACGTCACCGACGTAGGGCCAATGGTCGAGGACAGGCAAACTAGTTAATAGGACGATGCAGCGCCAAAACGTCCATCGCAGACGGACATCGTCGACCACGCGGAAAAACGACAAGGCCAACGTCGACCTAGAAAGGACGCCGACGAAAACGCGCAGGACAAGGACGAACAACGCGACCTAGGGATGCGCGCTCACGCGAGGCCGAGGTCGAAGCAAGGTTCTGTGAACTCGGCCTTCTCGTCGCGAAGGACTTCGTAGTCCTTCATCTCAAGCGTCACCCCGTACCCACCGATGCCCACTGGCACGTGGAGGGGGAATTCAGTCGCAGGTAGTGCAATCCTACTGGTCGCCATGCTAACACCACGGTCGGTATCACGGAAGGTTTGGGGAGGAGCGCGGAGAGCTGACAGGGAGGCAGAGGAAATCGGAAAGCGAAGTTGGAAAGGAGAAATGACGGATGGAGTGGGACCCCCCATCAAGAAATGGGCGTGGGCCGTCGGTCGCCTAGTATGCAGCTCGGCGGACGAGGCAGGTCGTGGCCGAGGGCGAGCCTCCGGCTTCGGCCCGTACCGGGCATGCCCTCGAGGGCGGGGTTCGGAGGGGCGGAGGTGGGTGGTTTGTGTGGGCCGTGCGTGGGGGTGGTCGGGGTGGCGAGGGCGAGCCACGTGTCCCCTCCCGAGGGGCCAGCGATGTTGACGAGGGTGGGGTCGGGCCCTTTGAATTTCGCAACCAACCCGCCTGCCCGGCGAGGGCAGCCCGAGAGGGTTACTAGGGCCTCGCGGGCATCGCGAAGCGAATGTCCGCCTCCGTGAAGGGGTAAGTAGGCCCCTCGTCGCTCACGCGCGAGTTCGCCACCCCTCGGCTGCAACGTGGGGGGCCGGGGCGGGGGGCGTGGGCAGAGCCCCGCCCCGCGCCAGCCTGGCGGGGGACTCACGCGAGGGAGTTGGCCGCCCTGACGCTTGGTCGACCGTCACCCCCCCGCGTCGTCCCAGGCAAAACGGGTGCGTCACCCCGAATTCCGATGAGCGATTCAGCGCAAAACGTCATCGTGCCACGACAATATCCATGTGGAGGGCTTTGCTTGAATGCGTCTGCTTCTGGTTTCGGTCGTGCATCGATTGGTGCACGAATGTTTTGCGATGGTCGCTCACTCCTTGTACGTGCGTGAAACCACACACGTTTGGTTCAACGTGCAAAACCGCGTTTGAGCATATGCTCGACTCTTGTTCACTTTGGTAGGTTCGAATTTCGGTATTTATCAGTTTGCACGCAGCAACGACGAAATAATTCGCGTATACTGGCGAAATTGGTTACCACCAAAAGTTTGACCCCATTTACGAACTCCAAATAGATTCACACACGCCCTAACCTTGTGTAGGCCACAACAAGGTATCCCTCAATTTCGAACCCATTTCGGCGTTCGAAACTTTGGGATAACAAGCACTTGAGGGTTAAAAACAACACAACACAACTTTCTACTTTGGGACAAATTGTGATGGGGGGAACTATGATAGCACGTTCTTGTGTCTTGGTGAGTACATTCGATGTCAGTCTAGCTAGAGTTTGCGTGTAGCGAGAAACAGGGTGTACGTAAGAAAATATTGCTACACAACAAAACCGTGGGAAACGCGAGTAGCGGCGCTTGGCTGTTTCAACGATCAGCACGCTGGCATGGCTTGGAGATATTTCTGTACAGTCAATGCTCACCTTATCACAAAAAAAATTGGTCATCACAATTAGAAATTTACTCACAATTGCATGTTTTACCTAATGCTATTACAAGGAATACAGTCACCCGAATGTTTGGTGGCTTGTGGTTTTTGTCTGGCAGATTTACAGGGCGGTTCGACCTGGGCACATTAGACAAGCACCACAGCAAATGCTGCGACTGGCAAAACGAAATGCAGTGAAGCCTTCGCTGGCTTCGCTGCAGTGGTGTTCGCCACGTCGACGGCGACATGACACTGCAAGGAGCAGCCGTCGCAAATGACCTGCCACCTCACACAGGGAAGTGAAATGCAGCGTGACGCCATTGACGGCTTCGCGCTGCATTTCAATGCCACGTTGGTCGCGACTTGAACAGTCAAGTCGCGGCCAACTTGTTATGCGGCTGTCACCTCTCAGCCCCACCCGCAGCGCAAAACCTGTGTTAAATGGGTCGTGTTCTTTGAGGGAAACAACCCACACTTGGTGTGGGTTTATTTTCCGCGCTGCACCAGCGCTACCTATAAAAGTACACTATTCCCTAACTCTCAACTCAAAAACAATCCGAACACGCCTTGGCTTTGCACAATTTGTTTGTGCGAAGTCTCACGCTCAGCACGAAAAGCCTGCCAAAAAGCACTCGACATCCACATCCAAACAGCATTACAGCAGCTCATGTTCCTAGACGACATGGCACGGTAGGGCAGGCGCTCTCGGATTACGCTTGACGTGAAACGGGGCATCTGTGCCCATCACGAGGCACATTCGCATTTGCGTCACGTGGACCTCTCCCGATGGTGCTTTACACGATACGGCATCCGCCCCCACAGTTCAACTATAACCAAGATTGTCGGTGAAGAGCAACGTTGGAGCTCCTCTTCCAGCGACACAGGCGACAGTGTGCGCGTTTGTGGTGGGGCGCATCCGGACCTGGAAGTTAAGTTGAAGCGCTACGTCGACTTGGCCAATGCGGCTGGAGCGCCGCTCATGCTTGAGACAATCCGCGACCACTGCAAGATGGTCGCCCGCGAGCTTGGGAAGCCGCCAACCTTCCGTTGCTCCATCGGATGGGCTCGCCGCGCCATGGCAGGACTCGGCATCCGGTGCTTCGCATTGGCTGGCGAAGCCGCCGAGTAGGACATGACGGCCGTCACAACATGGCGCGAGCAACTCCCCAAGTTGTTACTTCACTTGGCCTTGCCCCCTCGCAACGTCCTCAACTTTGACGAAACGGGTCTCTACATCTCTACCCTCCCGAGGAGGACATACGGCCGGTCGAAGGTCGTGGGGCGCAAGATCCCGAAGGAACGCCTCACCGTGGGCTTCTTGTGCAATGCGGATGGGAGCACGTTTTGGCGTCCCCTCATCATTTCCAAGTCGAGGCGCCCCCAGGATTTCCGCCCCGATTTCGACCCCGAGCCCTACTGCTATTGGCGGGCGAACAAACGCGGGTGGATGATTAATCAGGTGAGTACTTGTTTTGGGCATACCCCGTGGACACATGACTGTTGGCTGATTCCCACCTTGTTTAGAATACCGCTGCTAAGTCAATGTGCGATGTTTTGACACATATCCCTTTGTCCCCCTTTTACACTCGTAGTTGTTCACCCATTTCATCGAGCAATTGAATGCGGCAATGTACACGGAGAGCCGCGACATTGTCGTGTTACTGGACAACGCGAGCAGCCACACGTTGCTCACTGAGACGGCCGAAACCGAGGATATGTTCGGCTTCCGCACGCGCAAGTTGAGCAACGTGCGTTTGGTGTATCTTCCGCCCAACACAACTTGCTTCACGCAGCCCCTTGACCAGGGAATCATCAAGGCCGCGAAGACTAAGTACAAGAAACTTTGGCTAATCGACCTTCACCGTCAGTGGGGGAACGACAACCGACGACCCTCACTCGCCCGGTACAAGCCTAACATGCGAGATGAGGTGGTGTGGGTTCATGACTCGTGGATGACGATCGGGGCTCGCACGGTCCAGAGGTGTTGGTGGAACACCGGATGTCTCCCCCTTGCGTGGGAGATGCAGCTGGAGAGGGTGCATTCACAGCAATACGAGGCTCCAGAGGAAGCCGATGAGACGCTCGAGGACGAGCTGAGCGGGTCAGGCGTCTCATCACGGAGCTGGCACTTGGCGACGGCGCCATCCCCGTAAGGGAGTACGTCGACGGAGATGACAACGTTCCGACGTGCGATGAAGAAGGTGACGATCCCCTCGCGTCAGAGCCGTCGGATCCTCCCACAAGGGAGGCGTGGGAATCGCCACTGCAAGTCGCGGCCGCGTTTGATGGTGACCTGGGGAGTTGCGAGTCACGTCGCATAGCTCGTGCGGCGTGTGACATGATGATTGGCTACGCTAAGTCTATCGGCGTCGCTCCAAGGGACCTCACCCTCCTCTTTGACATCCGCAACCCCGTCGTCCGTGATCGGCTCGTGCGGGCCAGCCCTATTCTGAACCTCAACGAGCAGCCAAGTGCGAGCTCCTCCGCCCCGCGCCATGGTCGGGTGCTCCCGCCGTCGATCACGGGCAGGGACCGACTCAGTGAGCTGCTGCATCATAGCATCCATGCCGTGATGGGGCCGTACGACGCATCGGCTGAGTGGATGAACTGCCTATGAGCTATGCACGGCTGCCATGACTCAAAGGTGAAGAAGCATTGCAATGACTGAAAGTTGTTTGCATTTCATATTGAAGGGGAATAAAACGATCGTTTCAAGCTGTAGGAAGGGAGGGGGTTAACATTTGGTTGGGATTGTCTTCAGTTTGGCAACGTGGCCTGGTTGAACATGGTGGAATGATTGTTGGTGTATTAGTGGTTAGTTGTGACAATTGTTGTTGGTTATTGCTACTGTAGAGGTTGTGCCTCATGGTAACTAGGAACATGCAAACAAAACAAATGAAGCTGGTCCACAATTTCTGGGAAAATTCAAACATGTTACAACCTTGCTGTTATGTGATGCTATCATTTGCATTCACGTCTGTCTGCCTCCCATCATATGTTCGTGCGTTGCATGCGTGGTGTGAGCGTGTGCAAGAATTTGTGTTTTGTGTGGTTTGAATTTTTTGAGTGTGTGTGAATGTTATTTGGCTTGAGCAGATATCTGAAGTGACTCCTGTGCTCAAGAGCTTTTTGACGAACCAAGTATCACTTCAATCGGAGCACGAACAAGAAAGTTACGAACGTTGAAGTTCGCATGCTTTTCATATTTGGTTGTGGTGACTATGGGAAGTTGTGGTGTTGACTCCATAAGGGGTACAGACTTTTGGGGGTTGGGAAATTCGTCTTTTCTGCTGTAGTTGCTGCCAAATGGTTGGGAGAAACCAAACCAGGTTGGCAAGTGTGGCCAAGTTGGGTTGAGGTCGATTGTGGAGGTTGGGAAAGTGACAAAAGTGAAAGTGGGGTTGCCTATGGAGAGGGGAATTGTGTGGCATTGGGTTTCCTTGGTTGGGGACTCTCTTGGGACCTTCCCTCTCATCCTCCTCATCCATTCCACCTGGTTTAGTGCTACTCTAACTCTCTTGTGTAGTAATTGTGAACTTGTGAGACTATTGTGATTGAGTTAAGATTCCATGGCAGCATACCCCCTAGTGCGCCAAAATTGATAACTCAAGAAATACTTCATCTTTTCGTATGATTCAACTTGGGAATTGTAGCCACGGAGTAGAGCTACAACATATCTGAGTTTGGTGAAGTTTTGACCGTGAACTTTTCGTCGAAGGCGTTTCTTGTGAGCGCGACTTTTCTGTCCAGAATTCTAAGCCAACGATTTTGAGAATTTTAGGCACCTAATCTTCATAGACTCCGTCCTTAGTCTCTAACACTTGCAACCATACAGTCACAATATGCCTGTGGCGACGCCCGCGAACCTGCACGAATTACCCTCGCTCAAAAGAAGAACAATCCGCCCGCCTACCAGAGGTGACTATAACGAGCATTGTTTGTACGTTTACAGTACACGTCGTTGTCGATTGAATGAAGGCGATCAAATCACCAACTTAATGACGTCACTATCACATGACACAATTTATGTATTGGCTGAAACTGACCATGCACAGTAGAGCGAATACATTACCAGATCACGAGGTTCTGTTCTGTAGGTTCTAGATTCTTCCTGCGGAGATTGGTGCATCAGGTTTAGATACTTTGCGAGTCATGCTGGTACAAGGAGGATGGCAGGCCTCGCAAACCACGCCGGACTCTGTGACTTCCACCTATTGACTGCTGCTGATTGGCTCTTGCCAAGCAGTTTGGCCATGCAAATTGTACACTGAGACCAACCACAGACAACACCATGGGATCACGGGATTTCTGGATCACATCTTGTGACTTCAGTGATTGTCTCTCCCAGGGTTGTTTCTGGATTATCCAAAGTTCTGGGCAGAATTGTGCAAACTGCACCAACTCCCCCTCGTCTAAATAGGGGGGAGGGGATGTAAGCTGTGTGAACTCGCGCGAGTGTGGTACCAACTCGTATTTTGTTTTTTATTTCTTATTCTGAGGTTTCGTTTCAGAAACATTCCCGAAACTGGGATAAAGTGGGCAGAAAAGCATTGTCGTAGAACCACTACGGACACATACAAGCCTGTGACGAATGGACAACGATTCTGGCATGCTTGAAACGGATTTGTGGATTGATTGCCAGCGAAGCAGTAGCCCCCGAACAGCGGAAATCCCCCTCAAATGATCGAGCTGCACCGCCCCAAAATGTGAACTTCAGTCACGAAAATATGTCAGAATGAGAAACAGGAATGATGTGACTAGCAGAAACAACAGTACAAATATGAAACCCTAAACTGGTGTACCCCCTATGGTGTGACCCACTACAGCCTAGAACCACACAAACATATAATGTTTGACACACCCCCATAGGCAAAGTGGGGGAGACCTAGGGGTCACAAGACCAGTCAAGGCAAAACAAGGCAAACAAGCTCAGGGTGGATCTCGAGGATTCCACACAAATTCCGAGCACAAGTAAGCGGTCACAAGACCAGTTCACATGCAATTTTATAACAGAGCAAGAGGTACAATGATCACAACCTAGCAAGGGCAAACATGCAGGTATATATATAATGATCACAGTACAGGCAAAGTCAAGAAGTAAGCAAGTGAGGAACAGTCGGCACAAGGCCTAGAAGAGTGCAAAAACGCTGATGGTCAACAGGCGGAAGCGCCTTGGTGAACACATCACCAGTGTTGGCCTCAGTGGCCACGTAACGCAGAAGAAGCTGACCACGCTGCTGTAGCTCTCGAGCTAGAAAGTAACGTAGAGCAATGTGCTTCGTCCTGTGCTCCAGTCTGTGCTCCTGACACAAGGCTATGGTTGCCTTGTTGTCGACGTACAGCACTGGAGGAGAACGAGGCTGCTCTCCAAGGTCAGTCAGCAGGTAGGTGAGCCAGCGAAGCTCCTAAGCAGCCATGGCCGTGGCGTAGATCTCAGCCTCACAGCTGGAGCCGAGAACAGAAGAAGAATGAGTAGAACGCCAAGAGACAGAGCCAGAGCCAAGACTGAAGGTGTAACCCTGAGACGACCGCTGAGTAGCCTGGTCGTCTGCCCAAGAAGCGTCTGAGTGCCCAGTGAGAACAGGCCTGTCTCGCCCTCCAAGCACTAGCCCCATGCCCGACGTACTGCACAAGTAGCGCAACACCCTCTTAGCTGCATCCATGTGCTCCTTCCGGTGACGGCCGGGAGCGACATAGCGTGCTAAGATGCTGAGAGGGTATGCAAGGTCAGGTCGAGTGCAGGTCATCAGGTACATGAGGCAGCCCACAAGCTCTGGATACGGACCACTCGGCTCTACGGACTCATCCGAAGGCAGAGCTGAGAGCGAGTGTCCCGTAGGCAGAGGAGTGGACTGAGGCGAGGAGTACGTGAAGCCGAAGCGCTGAAGGACCTGCTGCACCATGTGTGAGTGAGTCAAGGTGATGGTGCGCCGTGCTCTGTCCCGGGTGATCCGCAAGCCAAGATAGCTTGTCAGTTCACCCAAGTCTGTGCACGTGTGTCTCTTCTGCAGCTCGGACTTCACGTGAGCGAGACCAGCTGTGTCAGAAGTGGCAAAGACCAAGTCGTCGACGTACACGAGAATGTAGAACGGCGGCAGTGAGGTGTCGGTGCGTAGAAACAGCGACGGGTCAGCAGTAGAAGGAGCGAACCCAAGAGCCGCAAGTGTAGTCCTCAGTGTGTCGTGCCACTCACGTGGCGCCTGGCGGAGACCGTAGACTGGCCGCCTGAGGCTCCACTGGGTACCAGGAGGGAACGACCCAGTGAAGCCAGGTGGGCGGCGCAGCCAGATCTCCTCGTGCAAGCTGCCCTGCAAGAAAGCTGTGCTGAAGTCAAGAGAGTGGAGCTCGTAGTCACGCTGAGCGGCGACGTGTAGCAGAACCCGAAGAGTGGTCATCTTCGGGGTCGGGGAGAAGGTCTGGAAGAAGTCAACTCCCTCTCGCTGACTGAAGCCTCGTGCAACGTAACGCGCCTTGAAGACAGGCGGAGAGCCCGGCGGCCGCTTCACCCTGAAAATCCACATGCCACTGACGATGTTCGCCCCAGGTGGGGGAACCTCGTCGACGTAGGTGCCAGTGGACTTCCAGGAAGCCATCTCTGTGTCCATGGGTGACTGCCACTGAGAGGAGTAGGGACCGGCCATCGCCTCTGCGTAAGAGCGTGGGGTCGGGATGTCTGGTGCATCCGGGTCTCCCTCAGGGGCAACAAGCATGGACACGAGATGGGGCAAAGCAGCGGCAAGGCAACCAAACTCCTCATGCCCGTCCTCAAGAACGTCCGTGCCAAGAGCACACTCACCCCCGACGGACGGAGGACAGACAGACTCAGACTCAGCAACAAGACTCGCAGCGTAGTCTAGACGACACGCAGCTGCAAAGTTGACAAGCTCAGTGACTAAGGAAGACGCAGCAGCGGACTCAAAGGAAGGGTCAGTGACAACTGTAGCCAGGAGACGTGTGACACTAGGACTGGCAGCGCGAAGGGTGTCTGACTCCGGGTCAGCAAGAGCAGGAAGAGAGGACGCAGGAGGCGACGGGAGAACGACACGCTGCGGAGCAGTGGACTGACGAAGCGCCATCTGGTGAGTGCCTGGGACAGCAGGAGGACGCTGACGCTGGACTCGACTACCAGTGGTAGCAGCACGAACAGGCGACGCTCGACGAGACGCAGGTGACACAGGACGTGACGCAGGCTCACGTCTCTCAGCAAGACCTCCAGTCGGACCAGTGTAAGGAGTAGGCACAGGGAGCGGGGAGGCAGGCGGTAACTGTGGCTGTGACTGGACAGACGGCGAACACTCTAAGGCGAGAGGAGGACAAGGAGGAGGAGTCTGACCAAGAACCTGCTGAAGGAGCGGAACGAAGTACGGCCGTGGCCGTGCAGCAACTCCCGAACCAGCAGAGACACCAGCGGCAGGGTCCTCAGCACCAGCAGAAGCTCCACCCTCCGGGTCCTCCACTCCAGCGGCAGCAGCAGCACCTCCAGCAGCACCAGCAGCACCTCCAGCAGCAGGGTCCGCAGCACCCGCAGCAGCTCCAACGCCCGGGTCCTCAGTACGAGCAGCACCTCCAGCAGCACCACCAGCAGCAGCAGCACCTCCAGCACCAGGGTCCGCAGCA